CATCGTTAAATAAACAATGTACTCTCAACGTTCATTTCAACGCAACGCAACTCAACGCAAACGCAACGCAACGACAACGGGTAAAACGCGTTGGGATTTTTGCAATACAACTGGCCGGTACTGTATTAACGTTTTAATAATTGTATAGTTGATTGTATATATCCAATTAAACAAATAGTGTTACCATGCATACACATATACATTAGTATATGAAGGATAATTTTTCTATAGAATAATATGACAATATGAACTATGTTTGTAACCTGACGTGTAATCGTACTGAATGCTTAGTATGTTCGCAAATACTTGCGGGAAAAATCTGTATTTAGGTGGGAATCGAACCCATGACCTCTGGACTCGAGCACAAAACTTGCGTTTGGTGGTCAGTGACATCTGAAAAATTCCATCGAAATAGTATATCCGATGCTACTGAGCTTTCTGTAGGATTGCATTTCAGATAGGGCAAACATCGTTCGTGTTATTTCTCCTGAGTATTGGTAATATTTACACCTATTAACGTTTTAATAATTGTATAGTTGATTGTATATATCCAATTAAACAAATAGTGTTACCATGCATACACTATTTAATGGAATTATATTTTATAAAAAAAAATATTTAATTATAGCACTGTATGTGTATATTTAATTACAATTTTTATTAATTTAACAAAACATTCCGTCCACATTAAAAAGGTTTTTTAAATATATTTTCTACAATAAAAGTACTGTAAAATTCATTTCACCACTTGTTTTGTGGTTAAGTTATACATGTACATATTTAGGATTATTATTTTATTTCGGAGTAAAACACTATATTTTCAGATATACAGTACTGTATGTATTGTCTTGTAGATCTGCAGTATCTGCATAGTTTGGAATATATGTTGTTGGATGTACGAATATCAGACAATGAGAATAAAATATCAGCTTGAGGAAAAGTGATTGTTTTATTATTTATTTACAAGGGCAAAATCACTGAACTTGAGACAAACATTTTTTGATGCAAACAAAATGTTGATATGTTGTAGGAAGGATTTTTGACAAAAAACTGGGAACAATATAAAATAGTTTTTTTTTTTAATATTTAAAAATTTTAAGGAAAAGGGGCATAATAATTTTGCATTCATTATATAATTAATTATTTTTAATAATACGTACACAAAATGGTCCCGTTTCAGATGCGGCCATTGACTTTTCCGAGGTCAAGGTGCACTATAATTTTCCCTGGCTCGGGGCCCTCGAATTTCTGAATCTGCTGGCCAAAGTTCACCGACACATTTTTAACATATTCAAATTACTGGAGGTTGGTAACTATGGCAATACTAGTACAATTATGAAACCATGGCTCCCAATATTTTATTGAGGCAACTTCCTTCCCTATAAGGACTGCCTAAAAAAAAGCATCCATTTACTATTTAATTTGTCTTATTTAAAGGATTATATTTGGTTGATGAGGGGAGGGGAGTGTGAAATGAAAGCTGTTTGATGTTTCGTTGTTGGTTAATTTCTGTTAGCCAAAGCTTCAGTGGCAGTGCGAGTCAGGGAGCAACTGTCTGGTAAGCCTGTGCCGTTATGGTTGGAAGCCCCTTTGATTTTCGTATTTGCCAACATGTTATTTATTTAATATTTATATATTTTTTTAAAGTTTATAGATTTACCTTTAGACATAATACCTTTTATCTGTTTTGTGAAAGGACTTCCATTCAACAGTAATTTAGTTTACTTTTAGGGGTGTTTAGGTTTACCTTCCCTGTTTTGCATGTTATTTTATTCATGTTTGTTATTTAAAGCTTTGAGAAAGAAATGAAAATATGAAATAAATTTGTCAGAGATTAATATTCATGAGATAATTAACCAAGGTATTGTGACTATAGCTCCAAATATTGTGGACCAAAAACAAGATTACATACTATTTTATACAATTGTGGTTTAGAATTCATATTTGAATTCAGGAAGCTGTCCATTGATAAAGACAGATTGTACCGAAAAAAACACCAAGCAAATAAAAAAAAATTACATTCTAATATTTGCAAGAAATATGTATGAGAAAAACAAAAGGTGTTAATTCAGTCTATGTGCACATAAAGATGCAAATACAGTAATTTCTTTCCATAACTGTTTAATCAGTTTATTAAAAAAATTGATTTACAAAAAAAAATTCATTATCAATGTCTGTTACACAACACTTAAATAATATATACATTATCAGTATAGGAAATTCTGAAAGAGAATATGTACAGTACAGTGTAACTGTTACAATTTTTCTACTGTATTTGATATTTTCCAAATATTTGTTATGATAGAATATTGGCCTGTGGATTGAGAATACTAGGTACTGTATTTTGTTTTTTTATTTATTTAACTATCTTGCACCATATTATACATTCATTCTAAAGATTTATTTTTAAACAGATTTTGTGCATCTACATTTTTAAGGACACTAGGGAATTGATGGCCTAACCATGACATCATTCGTGTCCAAATGTTATAAGTTTGGTTTCCATACAATCGCTACATGTTATCGCTGACAGCTTTTGGTGATGCCGATTGGTTGTTTGAATCGGGGACAATTCCCGATTGCGTTGGCAACTGCTCCGCAGTACAACGATTTAATGAAAACACTGTAGTGACGGTGTAGTGGTAGTATGGAAACTAATCTTAAAGCTAAGCTTATGTCGCCTCTTGCGACTTCACTTAACTCAACTTAATGTAGGCAACTTGCCGGCAAACATGAGCGCTCAGGTTGCCAGTTGCTCTTAGTTGCTCATGTTCTATTTTACTGCGATCCAAAGCAACCGACAAGCGATTAAATGTTCATGTAACGGTAGTAACCCACAAACTATCGTATTGACTGCACACGTGCAGCGCACGCTGAAATTGTATAAAAATTTGGGTAGAGTTAGAAGCGAATAAGCGCTCTGGGAAACTAATTTTGCTTACAGGTGCTTCCGCGATTACGAGTGAAAGTCGACGTGAGCCCTACCAGAAACTAGTTGATGTCAGTTGCGGTAAGTTGAGTTGAATCACAAGGGTGAATTAAGGTTAGCTTTCTATTTATGGTACACCACTACCAACTTTGGTGGGTCCGTACTTCGAAGTGGCCTACTCCCCCATGGCTTACATTGTGGTATGACTTCAGTGGGTCCATTTCTTGTAGTGGCCTGTTCCCCAATAGCTTACTCAATGTTACCACATATTATAAATGGTGGCTTATACTGTCAGTGGCATATCTAGAAGTCCGGAAATAGGGGAACAAAGGTGAAGTGGGGGGGGGATCGACGATCAGTTGAGGGGCGCTAAATTGGCAAAATAAGGTGATTTTTAAATATTTGAGTGATTTTTTTTGTGAGGGGGAAACTGGGGAGCACTGTATACTGTACTTTAGTAGCAGCTTTGATGGTACTTTTCTAGCATATTTTGATTAATACTAAAGTGTAATGTGATGTCTTTTACAAAATGCACTGCGAATCATTTCATGTATTTATCCTCTTGGGCAGCAAGGATTTTTGCAGATGATTTTGCATCATAGAAAAGTTCATTGATTTCTTCAATTTCTTCCTTTCCTATCGAATCCTTGCCGTTAACCTTGGCCAGGAGACTTGCTGGCGTCAAAAGTTGCACAGCATATCTGTAAAGATAATTAGTAGATTTAAACTATTTTAATTAAACATAAATTATAATTAGGTTGCAGAATATAAATATTCATTACACCAGGGGAACACCAGGGGAGCTCTAGTGGAATAAAGGACTCCTACCCCACAAACAAGTATTAGAGGCTTGTATATTTTTCAGAATTCATGGTTTTTTTTTTATTTCTACAAAACATGCGATCAAGGGCCAATATCTGCTTCATAGGTTTACCAATATACTTTAGATCACTTCAGATTAGAGTCTTATTACAGTACCCAGGGGTGTTGCCAGCGGGAGGAGGGGGGAGGGGGAGGAGGAGCAGGGCCCGTGTCGGGTAGAGCTGCCAACAACCCCTCACCATCAAAGACAAAAAGCACAATTCGTCAGGGATAAAAAAAATAAATAAATGAGCCTTGGAATCTAACTTGGCATATTATTCGGGGGCTTCGCCTCCTCGATTACCTTTCAAACATTATGAGCAACGCCTGACCACGTCCACTTTACTCTCGTCAGGGACATCGGATCCGGTCGGGAAACTCGGACCGCCCGTCGGTGACCTCTGACCCTCCGTCAGTCAAATCCCACATCTGACAGTATCTTATTTATTATTGTTATGGATTGTGTAGTTATTATATCTACAACATACCTGAGTGTTGTCTTAGTGCCTATCTCCCCTAGCAACTGCACTGACTCATCTCCTATTTGAATGCCTTCAGTTTGTGCTCTTATCTTTAAAATCTATAAAAAAAAAACATAAAAAAAACAAAAACAGAATAAAACATCAATACCAATAAGAAGGTACACATATTACTGAAAGAAAATGATGCAACTTCACATACGTTAGCCACTAATGAATAATATTGCCTTAAATTTATGGCTATTTCTTTATTTTTACCTTTATTTTGGAGGTGGGGACTTACCTGTATTACATCCATCTGCGAATATGGAAGCGTTTTAATGATCATCACACGATCTAACAGATCAAGTGGCATACCATGAGGCGACACAATATCCTGGGTCCCTCTGAAAATAACAACAAAATTATACTTCAATTAAACAATGACGGTAGAGATTAGGCTGGAAAAAGATGCGAAAACAGCGGTCGGAGGCATAGTCGCAGAGGAAATTTTAAAAACTAAATTAAAAAAAAATAAACTGTTGGGCTATAGTGTACAAATAATATTTGGTGCTGGAGACTTTCTTTTTGGTAAATTTTGGTCGGAAGGACAACATTTTTTTTCCAGGCCTGGTAGTGATGCAATATCTATATAACAGAACAAATGTGAGGTCTCGCCACAAAACGAGTCTCATGGTTAGAAATTCAAAAATTGAGTTTAAATTATAATTGGGTAGATCACATTATAAGCTTACATTTGGTCTTTGAATGGTTTCCCTACTATAAGTAAATCCAGAGATGTGAGCATTTAAAGTTTTGAGAAAATCAGCCTCAAAGATAAACTAACCTGTACAAATAATATGACTAGAATTACAGAATATGTGCAGAGAACACTGTTTTGGCAAGAAATTTCACTTACAAAGTATACAATCATAAAATATAAGTATCAAGTTATTCAAAAACATTAAAATCAAAATTTTGTAAAAATGTTGACTTTGGCCTGTTTTGGTGAATATCTCAATATGATTTCACAAATGAAATAATTAAAAAAATATATATATAATCACTCCAGAATTAAAACATTTTGGGTTCAAATCCTAAGACACAAAATTTATTCTGACTGTAGGAAAACTCCACTGCCAATACCACATAGACATATATACAGCATCCCTAAACCCCTCACCTCACCCCCCCCCCCCCCCCCCCAACACTAACTATAGTTATTTACTGTGGTCCACTTATCACATTAGATATTAATTTTTAAATGGTTTAAATTGATCTCATCAAAGTTTTTTTCATCCTCAACGAATACATATTCTTGTATCAGATAAATTGCCTTAAGCTGTAATCCACACAGCATGAGTTAATTAATTTCTTATCAAAAGAACTCTGTAGTTTAGTTATGGTAACTTACAAATTGCGAGTGTGAGTAAAACATTATCTATTGTATCTTGTGAGAAATTTTCTGTTTCAACAAACCAATTAACCAGATAACTATCTATTACATCTGTCTGCATACCTGATTGGTGTTTTTCCTCTGTTGGTGGCGAAGACAACGATGGGTGACAGAGAAGACTCCAACGCCTTGTGCAAGTAGGTGAAGCACTCGATGTCTAGCATGTGAACCTCGTCGATGAACAGAACGCCGGGCACCAGCTCAGCAACGCCCTGGTCAATGTACTTATTCACCACTTTGTTGATCTCTTTGCGCAGTTTGTCCGTGATCTCGGTCTTCTTTGGTTTCATCAGCTGACCCATCATGGACATGATGTCTTGACCGCCCTGTTAGAACAAGCAGACAAGAAGCATACTATGGGGGTATCTACAGTAGGAGTACAGAAAAGAGGAGGGGGAAAGGGATTGAGGGCTTTACGATTAAGTGGGGGGGGGGCTTTAGCTGACAAAATAAGGTTTTAAACCACTTTAACCAGCGTAATTTTTCTGCTTCCTAAATTTCCAGTAGGGAAAGTTTAATGCCATTTCACTGTAAACATGTACAACATAAAGTATAAGAATGGAATTCTATTCCTCCTGTGTAGCAGTCTGTCTTAACTTCCCAGCAAAGCTGTTCCGTACGTACGAAGAAAAATAGAGTTAAAGTTTGTATGTTTGCAACTTGGTAATAATTTGTCGTACCCTTTTGAAATTTTGCAGGATTGTATATCTATATATATATATATTGTGATTATGTAAAATTTTAATAACAACCATTTGTTTATTGCAAAGTTATGCAATTTTCACAGATACGTTGTTTTGCCTCGGAAACATGTTAAGACTCGGTGTTGTTTCAAATGGGACATATTTTTTTTAATTATCACGTTTGGGGACAATCATATGCATTATTTAACTTGTTCATATATCACTGTTAAGATTATTGATATGGACACACCAATACCCAGTTAATTTCGCCTTGCCAAACTCCATCAGCTCAAAACAATTTTTGAATAACATTCCGAGGCAAAACAACGTATCTTCATAGTAGATACGTTGTTTTCCAGGTAATCTTGTAGTTACATTGTTTTACCATTGAAAATCACTAGAAGTTTTGTGCTTAAAAATAGGTGGTGCTACCTCCAAAACGACTCATTGTTGAGACCTGAAATTTTCACAGGTAATTCAGATGTGTTTAATATACTCCTAAATGATATTATCTCAAAATCGACAAAAATGTCAGTTACGTTGCTTTTCCTCCGGACGGCCGAGCATAGCAGGTACCCATTTATATGGTAGAGAGGGACAAACATAGATAAAATGTTTTGCTTACGGGTACCAACCGCTTCACTGATGGTAAAGCAACATACACCAATACTAGTATCATTAATATATTATCATCATTATTAAAAAATTTAAACATACCTTTACCAGGAATTTTAGTGGTGGGCAGAGCCACACAGCCTTGGAAGTTTTCCACCCAGTCTAAAGCAAATTTCATGGCCCTCCACCCACTCTTATTAACCCACTTTTCCATCCTAAAATTCCACTTTTATTATAGAGAGTTGACCAATGTCAAAACCTTAGTTTTCACAGTTAAAACCCTACAGGCTGTCAACACTAGCATAATATATTTGTACTATATTTGCTGTACCTGAGGCCGGGCATTGGCAACATCTAAATCGTGCAATGTTACATCCTGGATCACTTCCTTCTTCTTGTGAACATCACCTTTCGGTAGAGGTACGTATTCTTCGGCTTCAAGGTCAAACTCTGTTGCAAAAGTGTCTGATCTACCTTGTCTCTGAAAAAAAAAAAAGACAAAACAAAAATGGTGTTGAATATTATAATGAAAGGTGGGTGAATAAAATGTTGTTAATCAGAAACAAACATGCACAAAAAATGTCCATGAGCATTCCGCATTAACAACATGTTAAAAAAGTATTGTCCCTTGAAAATAAAAAAAATCATAAAAAAATAATGTTCAATTTAACTTGCTCATTTTGCAGTAACATACAAAATATAAACTTTAGCATAGACATTATTGATTTAAAATATATATACATATACCCTGAATATTCAACTGGATGACTTAATAAAAATAATAAAACACTTCCAGTGACTGGAGGTAATTCAACATCGAATCCTGATATTACATGATTTCAAAGATTTCTATATATGAATACAGCAGCATAACAATTCATGATAGACAACAATATTAATTAAAAAATTTTAAATTAAAATATAAAAATATACAAATTTTTCTGTTCCAGATGATAATTTTAATATTACTTCAAAATATGCAAATAAATTTCAAAAAAATGATTTTTTTTTTTCATGAATTTATTTTGTTTGTATTTTGCATGAGACAGTACATCTCTAAAGGTTAAATGTTAAAGTGCACAATTGCGTTACTGACCTTGACTGCTCCACTGTTGGCTTCAATGTAGATGACATCACCAACCTCAACCTTCTCTTTTTGTAAACTCTCATATATTGATGGATCTAGTTTCAGTTGCTTGGTTCCCTTTGCAGTTTTCAGGCCAATCACAACATGACTTACAGTTTTCCCATATCCTGAAAAGCAGAAACATGTAGAACATGCTACTATTGGTGGTAATGTAACTTTATGCATTTTGGTTTTTACCAATCATAACACAGCTTACATTAAGCCCCCAGAATAAACATCTGAGGCATGTTGCGGCAAAAAGGCTAAGTTGTAGCAAAAATTGAAATTCAAGTTATTGGTATTTTGAGCTATCTGAATATGTGATCTTTAAAATGAGGGGTCATTCATTGAAATTGGACATTTCAAGCATAAGTTATTTGAAAGTGAAAGTACAGTACTCTTAGAGTCAAGATAAACAGGATTTTGAGTAATTGACTTTCAAAGTTATTTGTGAATACATTGTTTAATAGAATGAACTATCAAAATAACATAAAATAAACAATTTGTTGACCACTTCCAGAACTAATAATACTTTGGGACATGATTAATAAGACATTAAACTGTTGATCTATAGTGAAAAACAAATTTGGATTTTTAGGCAATTTTTTTAGCTCCCATATTTTATAGCTCATTTACTCAATACTGGACTGTGCGACAACTTAACTATTTCACCACGACATGCCTCTTCTTACCTCCCATGGGATTTTCGGTTTCACAAGGCTTCAACTCTGTAACTTCTCCCTCATAAACTTCTTTCATTTCTTTGATTCGTAAACCTGATAGAAAAGTTAAAACATTGTACTTAAAAGACTACAATATAGTCGAGAGAAACTGTAAGCAAAATGAATTGATAAAACAAAATTATAAAAAAAAATTCTGATGATAGCTACTGCCACAGACTTTGACTTATTCCATGTATTGTTTTATGTTAGGCTAGGATAATTGTTGTTTGTATCCATTTAATGTTCTTTGTTTTCATCCTGCAACTGTAAATGGTGGGTAACAACTTGCTGTTGATGTGGAGTTATTTTATTCATTAAAATAAAAAAGGTGCAGCTTTTCCTGCAGTAGACATATTTATCTGGCATTAATTATAGAATTTGCAATACAATTTTGATATTTTCCAAAATTTCCAGTTTTATCCAATTTTCAAAAATTTAACAAAGTTATAAATTTGAATATTCGAAAATTAAATACTGGACATTAAATTTGACCATTCCATAAAGTACACACTTTATTTCATAAAAATAAAAAGAAAAATGTTAATGTATTGGATCTACTCATAGTTAGTGATTTTACCAATTGCTCTTCTAAAATTCTCCATCAGTACTTCTGTCTTCTTGATCTCGGTGGAGAACACTTCGCTACCAACCATTGGGCAAAACGGTACTTTGCTGCCTAAATCTTGGGCCACAGCAAGAGCAAGGGCCGTCTTCCCTGTGCCTGGTGGACCAGCCAACAGAACTGCACGGCCGGCCATCTTCTTTGATTTTATCAACTCAACAACAATTCCAGCAGCCTATTGTAAAAAAAAAAAAAAAATGTTTAAGGGCCAATATGACAAATCAACCAATAAGTGTATATCATACATTCATAAACATGTGCATAACAAAAATAATATTTATCAAGAGATTTTTGGTAAATAGCATATGTATGGACTTTAAAAACACTTTATTAGAGAAAACAAAATATTTTGACCTATAC